ACTTGATAATGAGAAGAATGAGTGCTACAGAACTTCTTGACTTCTTGAGCACTGGGATGATCCTTGTTGTTTTGAGGCAGACAGGAACACTGCTGTGCTGAGGGATGCATTAAAGATGTCTGTGAAGACGTCCACTAGCTACTCAGCAAATTCTCAGAGAGCACGTCTTGGTATGTTGTCTGGCCCAGCAGCATTTCTTGGGTTAACTCTGCTTAGAGTTTTTCTGACATCATCCCTGGGCAGACAGAGGACCTGCTCGTTGGTAGGAGGGAAGGCTTTCCTCACTGGTTCCTTGTTCTGTGCCTCAAAATGTGCGTAGAAGTCAATTAATGTATCCGGCAGGGAGGTATCACTGCTACAGGCCTGAGGAGTTAGCTTATAGTCCATGATGGATTGAATTCCCTGCCACATGCGCCGCATGTCTCTAGAGTCCATGAAATGGCTGTGGATTTTCTGTAAAGCACACTTTGCTGCCTTGATGGCCTGTGACAGTTTAGCTCTGGCGGTACTAAAAGCCTCCTTGTCAGAAGACTGAAAGGCAGCATTTCTGGTCTTCACCAAAGTGCACACTTCTGCAGTGAACCAGTGCTTGTGATTGGCCCGGTTTCAGATGGTTTTGAAGACAGTAACATCCTCAATGCACTTGCTAATGTAGCCAGTCAGGCTGTATGCTCCTCAAAGTCCACTCAGCTGTTGTAGGTGGCAGCTTCCTTAAAAATAGCCCCACAGCATTATGCTCCCACCACCATGTTTAACTGTTGGAACTGTGTTTTTAGAGTTTTCCCTTCTTTCGCCAAAAAAGCTGTACGTGTATGCCCAAATAGCTCCAGTTTTGTCATATCATATCAGAATCAGAATATCTTTATTGTCATTGTAATATGTACAATGAAATTAGGTGCAGTCCTTGTGGCATCAAAGAATTATACAATAAATTACATGTAAAAGACATATTGCATGAGACATATTGCATATAAAAGACATATTGCACGTTGGAATAAGTCATGAGTGGGGTGTGAGGAGTCTTTTAGGATGTTTTCCGCTTTTCTGAGACAGCGAGAGCTGTGCAGTTCACCCAGAGGGGGTAAAGGGCAGCCGATGATCTCCTGGCCAGTCTTTACAATCCGCTGGAGTGATTTCCACTGCGCTGTTGTGCAGCTGGAAAACCACACACACAGACAGTAGCACAGGATGCTCTCAATGGAACAGCGATAGAAG